CTTTACTTTAATCCCCATAATTCTCGAATTTACACATTCATATTCTCTTTTCTCCTTCCATAACTGATCATTTAACATTACTGCTACCCCTTCCTTTGCTCTAACTCTCTCAGATACTCCAGATTTAATCCCATTTATTTCCCCCCACTGAAACTCTCCTACCCCCTTCAGCTTTGTTTCGCTTAGAGCCAGGACATCCAACTTCTTTTCATTCATAACATCAGCAATCATCTGTTTCTTGTCATCTGCACTACATCCACGCACATTTAAACAACCCAGTTTTATAAAGTTTTTCTTCTCTTTTTTAGTAAATGTATACAGGAGAAGGGGTTACTAGCCCATTGCTCCCCGGCATTTTAGTCGCCTCATATGACACGCATGGCTTACGGAGGAAAGATTCTTTTCCACTTCCCCATGGACAATAGAAGAAATAAAAAAGAACAAGAGCTATTTAGAATAAGGAGAAAAACCTAGATGTATGTATATATATATATGCATGTGCGTGTCTGTGAAGTGTGACCAAAGTGTAAGTAGGAGTAGCAAGATATCCCTGTTATCTAGCGTGTTTATGAGACAGAAAAAGAAAACCAGCAATCCTACCATCATGCAAAACAGTTACAGGTTTTTGTTTCACAGTCATCTGGCAGGACGGTAGTACTTCCCTGGGTGGTTGCTGTCTACCAACCTACTAACCCACACATCTCCAATGTGTGGGTTATTTGTATATTGTTCCAGTCACAGAATTGTGCTTTTTTCTTCTTTCTAGATATAGAATCTAATACAGTGGACCCCCGGTATTCGATATTAATCCGTTCATGAGAGCTCATCGAATACCGAAAATATCGAAAAGCAAATCAATTTTCCTCGTAAGAGATAATGGAAATCAAATTAATCCGTGCAAGACACCCAAAAGTATGAAAAAAAAAATTTTTACCACATGAAATATTAAGTTTAATGCAATAGAATAATTACAATAACAACAATAACAATAGAATAATTGACACTTACCTTTAATGAAGATCTGGTGATGATTGATGGGATGGGAGGAGGGGAGTGTGTGGATGGTGTTAGTGTTTAAACCCTTAAACTGTCCAAACAGATCTACGTTCACATGCGTAGTGCTCCAAAAGTAGATCTACGTTTTTTAACATTTTCAAATATAACAAAAAAAAATGTAGATTAAAGATTTTTTTACACGTTTTCAAATGTAAAAAAAAGAAAAATAAGCTCTACGTTTTTTTACATACTTTCAAATGTTGAAAAAACGCAGATCTACGTTTGGACAGTTTAAGGGTTAAAAGGGGCATCCCCTTCCATTAGGACTTGAGGCAGCAAGTCCTTTTCCGGGGTTACTTCCCTTCTTTTAATGCCACTAGGACCAGCTTGAGAGTCACTGGACTTCTGTTGCACAACATATCTGTCCATAGAGGCCTGTGCCTCCCGTTCCTTTATGACATTCCTAAAGTTTCACAACGTTGTCAGTGTAATAGTCTCCAGCATGGCTTGCAATAGCTGTGTTAGGGTGATTGTCATCAAAAAAGGTTTGCACTTTAAGCCACATTGCACACATTTCCTTAATCTTTGAAGTAGGCAACTTCTTCAATTTCTCTATCCCCTCCTCCGAAGTAGTTTCCTCAGGTCTGGCCTCTTGCTGTTGAAGATGATCTAGCAGCTCATCAGTGGTTACTTCTTCATTGTCCTCCTCCACCAACTCTTCAACATCCTCCCCACTAACCTCCAACCCCAAGGACTTCCCCAAGGACTTCCCCAATGCCACAATGGATTCCTCAACTGGCATAGGCTTCTTGGTTAGCCTCAAATCCTTCAAAATCCCTTTTGTCTACACATTCTGGCCACAGTTTTTTCCAAGCAGAGTTCAAGGTCCTCTTAGTCACTCCCTCCCAAGCCGTACCTATAAGATTTATACAATTGAGGATATTAAAGTACAGTGGACCCCCAGTTAACGATATTTTTTCACTCCATAAGTTGTATGTTCAGGTGCCAGTACTGACCGAATTTATTCCCATAAGGAATATTGTGAAGTAGATTAGTCCATTTCAGACCCCCAAACATACACGTACAAACGCACTTACATAAATACACTTACATAATTGGTCGCATTCGGAGGTAATCGTTATGCGGGGGTCCACTGTAATCCTTCCAAAACTCCTTTAGAGTCAGTTGAGTTTCTGTGGTCACTACAAAGCACTTTTGAAACATAGCTTTTGTGTACAGTTTCTTGAAGTTGGAAATGACCTGCTGGTCCATGGGCTACAGGAGAGGAGTGGTATTAGGAGGCAAAAACTTGACCTTAATGAAGCTCATGTCCCCAGAAAGTCGCTCTGCCAAGTCTGTAGGATGGCCAGGGGCATTGTCTAATACCAGGAGTCACTTAAGGTCTAATTTCTTTTCAATTAGGTAATTTTTCACAGTGGGGGCAAATGCATGGTGTAACCAGTCATAGAAAAAGTCCTTAGTGACCCATGCCTTACTGTTTGCCCTCCACAGCACACACACATTAGCCTTGAGACATTGTTTTTTCCTGAACACTCTGGGAGTTTCAGAGTGATACACCAATAAAGGCTTCACTTTGCAATCACCACTAGCATTGGCACACATCAACAGAGTAAACCTGTCTTTCATAGGCTTATGTCCTGGGAGTGCCTTTTCCTCCTGAGTAATGTAGGTCCTGCTTGGCATTTTCTTCCAAAACAGGCCTGTTTCGTCGCAATTAAACACTTGTTCAGGTTTAAATTCTTCACTGTCTATGTAATCCTTGAATTCCTTCACATATTTTTCAGCTGCTTTTTGGTCTGAACTGGCAGCCTCACCATGCCTAACCACACTATATATGCAACTACAATTCTTGAGTCTTTCAAACCAACCTTTGCTGGCCTTAAATTCACTCACATCAGCACTAGTTTCAGGCAATTTCTTTACCAAATCGTCATGCAACTGCCTACCCTTTTCACAAATGATCGCTTGAGAGATGCTATCTCCTGCTATCTGTTTTTCATTTATCCACACCAATAACAGCCTCTCAACATTTTCTAACACTTGCGGTCGCTGTTTCGTAATCACAGTTGCACCTTTTGCAAGAACAGCTTCCTTGATTGCCGTTTTCCTGGTCACTATAGTAGAGATGGTTGATTGGGGTTTACTATACAACCTGACCAGCTCCGACACACGCACTCCACTTTCGTACTTTGCAATTATCTCTTTCTTCATTTCAATAGTCATTAGCACCTTTTTTCTTGAAGGGCTGGCACTAGAAGCTTTCTTGGGGCCCATGGTGACTTATGGAATGTACCGAATGTATCCTTAGATGCGCGCACACTGGCTGGCTTGTTAACACTGGCACACACGGGGCAGTTCAGGCCACACGTGGACACGTCTCGTACGAATCTCGTCGAATACCGGGTTTTCGATTGGATACCGAGGCGAAATTTTTGCGATAAAATGCATCGAATACCGGGGGTCCACTGTACAAAGTAGGAGTTGTCATTTATTTGCCGATGTCACTATGCTTTTGGAAGATTTTGAAGACAAGTTGAAAAAGTTGTAAACTAATTTTGAAGGATATGTCAAAGAAAAAATTTAGTTAACATAGTAAAGAGCAAGGTGATGTGAGCAAAAAATTAGGTAATAAAAGATTCTTTCAGATTGGAAGGAGGGGGGAGTATGGAGGAAAGAAATGTGTTCAGATACATATTGGATAGTGTATTTGTTGGCAGACAGGTCTGTGAAATATTAGGTGAACCATAGAAATGATGAGAGGAAAATGTGGGTGGTGCATTGAGGCATCCATGGAAATGAAGAACCTTATCCATGAAGGCAAAAAGGGGAGTGTACTAGAGTATAGGGGTACCAACACACTTTCATGAATGTGAAGAAGCATGGATTTTAAAAATTGCAGTGAAGAGGAGGCTGGAGGCAGTGGATATACTATGTCTGAAGGCAATGTATTGTGTGATTATGCAGAAAATTCTTAGTTTGGAGATAGGAGGCAGCACAGGGTTACTAAAAGTATTATCCAGAGAGCTGACAAGGGGATATTGAGGTAGTTTGGATATTTAAAGAGGGTAGAGCAAAATAGGATGACTTGGGTGTATAAAGCTGTATTGGAGGGAAGGAGGGGGTAAGGGTCATCCTAGGAAAGGTTGGAGGGAGGGGGGGTAAAGGAGGTTTTGTATGCAAGAGGCTTGGACGTTCAGCAGGTGTGTGCGAGCATGTTTGTTAGGAGTGGAGGAAAGTTGTTTTTATGACGATGTGGATATGGAGTACAAGCAAGGTAATATTAATGAAGGGATTCGTGGAAACCAGTTAGCTGGATTTGAGTTCTGGAGGTGGGAAGTACAGTGCCTGCACTCTGAAGGAAGGGTGGAAATATTGCAATTTGGAAAAACATCTAGGCTGTAATGTTGGCATGCCTCTGACTGCCAAGACTGACGGTGAAAGTGTTTCTTCTTTTTTGGGTCACCCTACTTCAGTGGGAGGTGGCTGGTGTGATAAAAAAAAAATTGCTGGTAGGTCTAGTATTGCTGGTTTATTTACTGTCATTCTCATTTGTTAAGATCATTGCTGAAATCCTACATTTATGACAGCCATTAACTTTCCTCTCCATGACTCCTTTTCACCATTTTTTACAGGTTATTGAAATTCCAATTATTAGGAGCTTTGCTCCCTTCGTCTTGGCACTGTGAGCTGCTGCTATATCATTTTCATCACTATTACTGCCATCATATTCCAATCTTGGTCTCCTGTTATTTGATGGTGGGTTCTGTTGTACTGTCACAACTGTCTTTGGGCCTTTTATAACACTACCTAATACAAAATATACAAACCTAGGGCAATTTAGTTCATCCAATTTCTCACAACTTCATTATTCTTTGAGACCTACTCTACCACCACCAACACCACCTCTGAAGCCATGCAAGATATATGTATTGTATACGTGTTATTTACTACACACACTAATATATACTTTTTTTTATTTCCAGTCCACCCGACTAGGAAGACACATCAACAATATCCGTCGTAAGACAGACCACCAGGAGCTTTATCGACGTTCCAAGGATCTTGTGCGCAAGTGGCGTAAGGAAGTTCTGGCAGATGGGGTGAATGGGGCAGCTGGATCAGGACCTGGACCTGGCGGGACGGGGTCTGGTGGGACAGGTGCAAAAGGGGCAGGTAATGGGCATCCTCCAACTTCACCATCTTCCTTACCGTCCAGTGGCAACACAAGTCCAGGAATGTCTGCCCCTACCACTCCCTCCACCCTCGTCCAACGGACACGTACAGCTTCCCCTACCCTAACCACTGCCCATTCGTCCCGCCCACTTAAACCTGCATCACCTTCCTTACCTCGGGGACGTGTATTGAGTCCAGGGATGTGTCCTGCTCTGTCGACTCTCTCACCAGTTATTACTCCCCCTTTAGCAACACATGCCCGCCCACGGTCCCGCCCACATTCTCCAGCAGTTAATCCCAGCATGCGGCAGCCACCCAGAGCAGATGCTTCTTCTTATGCCCCAAGTACTGAAAATGTAGCGAAAACTAATACGGCTAACAAAAGATTAAGAAAAGATGAGGAAGATTCTAATAGTGATATTCCCGTTGCCAAGCGACCTAGAAATAATGTAACCAATGGTTTTGATGAAGATAGTAGAGATAGTTTTTCTAGCGTAATTAGCAATGATTGTACTTCTAAAATTAATAGTGGAGGTAGTGAAAGTAGTAAAACTCGACGAATAGCAAATGCACATGCTGTTTCAAAGAGAAAACTAAATATTAATGAAACTGCTCTTGCTACAAATATGCCAAACCTGCTTCATCAAAAAATGGCTGCCCTTCCAATACCTACTAAAGCCTCCAAAGTGAAAACAACGTCACAAATTGTTGCAGAACTTGCTGAACGAAAAGGTGATAGTAAATTAGCAGAAAGAGCAACAAAACTGGAAGAACAACATGTGCGAGAATTACCTGGACCTGGAGTAACACTTGGTATGGGTAGAACGACTGATAATGCAGTTGTTACCCGTAATAAAATGGACCATTTGCAGCGCTTCCTCAGTTCACAGCCAGGTCCTGCATTTGATGACTTTCAAGGTGTTGGTGATGAGGACAGAGGTTCAGTATCTTCAGAAATAGAAGGCAAAGGATCTACAAGTGCCCCAGTTTCCCCACCACGTGGCCCTACAGATGTCCCTCCACCTATCATGACGCTGAGTAACCTTGATCTCCTTGGTGTCATGGCTCATGAAACTGCTGAGGAGATTTTGGCCCGCCTTCCTCCAATTGACTCCTCTAGTATTGTATGGGATGATCCTGACGAACAAGTTTGTGAACAGGAGCAAGAACAAAGAGATAGAAAGTGTAGTGGCTCTGAGCATAGTGAATCTGAAGATGAAGTGGAAAAATTAGTACGAAAATCTGAGAAAGTTCTGCCAGAGGCAATAAATACACTTCATACAACTAATCTTGATTGTCAGAATGGTAATTTTGATGTGGATGGTAAATTCAGAGAGTGGCATGAAGTAACTGTCAAAAAAAGCTACCAGGATGATCCTTTGATAGTGTTGCCTTATGTGATAACTGACTTTTGAAACACAAACTACTGTATTTACAATGAAAAGTGGTGGCTAAGAAATACTAAGAGGCTACCTAGTTACTAAAAAAAAAAAATGTGGTTGTCATTAACTTCATTTTTCTCATATCATAGAACCCATGTTAGTCTGTTTCTTGTTAGTCTGTTTGTATTTTCCGTGTGATATTTTTTTTTTTTTGGATAGCCTTCCAAGTGTTGCTATTTACGTTAAAATATAATTTCAAGAGAATGGCGTATGTTGATATTGCTAACCTTGCTTTGTTGCTTCAATTTTATTTTGAAGACAACCTGAAAAAATATACAAGAATTCTTAGGATTAAGTATATACAGTGCCTAAAGAACCAAGTGAACCAAGCTTTTAGTTTCTTCTTGAAAAATCTGTGATGTGCAACCAGTCATGTTTTAACAATCAATATACACATTTATAAATTTGTATGCAAGTTGATTTTTTGTGGTGACTAAAGTCTTGGCTCAGTGATTTCTATTCATCTATTAATGAAGTCAGTACAGTTGCCTTCAGTAACTTTTCCATATCCTAAATGAAAATAGTATACTTATATATGTTTGATCAAGTCATTGAAGTATAAACATTCAGGACGTAACCTGAATATGGCATTGTGTGGAATGGCCAAATCCAAATATATGATGTTCATGTTTGCTAGTGAGGGTAGGATAGTCATATGTGAACCTTAAGCCTTTTTTTGCTCAAAGGAAGTTGGAAAAATTTTGTCTTCACTCATAACCATATACAGTGGTACCTCGAATATTGGCCAAAATTCGTTCCAGAAGGCTGTTCAAGTGCCTCTACCGAACGAATTTGTTCCCATGAGGAATAATGTAAATTAGATTAGTCTGTTTCAGACCCCCAAAAATACACTTACGAAAGCACTTACAAAAATACACTTGCATAATTGTTAGAGCTGGGAGCTGTTCAGAATTCGAGGTACCACTATATATATTTCTTCTATTTTTTTTTAACCACATTGATCATTTCCCACTAGGGTTTGGGTAACCCAAAGAAGGAAACACATTTAACATCACTCGCTGAGTAAGTCTTGCCAGAAGCATACAGACATCACAATTCAAATAAAATTATAGTAAGGTTTTCCTGTTACAATGAACATTTTGACAGCAACAGTTTGATAGTATGTCTCAAATGTACAAGCCCTTGTCATAATCAGTTGAAAACTGATCCCATGTTATAAACTGTGATATTGATTGAACTGTTATTATCTGTGTTGTTTTAATGAAGATACTAGTTGTACATTCTTAGTTTTCAGGTGAAACAGTTTGGCACTTGTTAATTCAGACATTTCATTCATAAGACAAGGTTATTGGCAAAATTTAAATTATGGCTATATATTACTCCTTAAATTATTGTTTATGAATGGGGCATTAATACATAAAGAGGCAAGAGTATGTTACTTAAATATCTCGCAATTTTTGTGGGCATCCAACTTGGCTTATGGTTCACTCCTTCCCCACAAATGCAATGGAACTACTGTACACATGAGCATTAAGAATATTGTGCTTAAATCTTGATAACCAGGCCAGCAGTATGTCCCAGTTTCTTTCTCTCTTTCTCTCTCTCTGTAGAATAAGCTTTTATGAACAGTAATACACTATTGTTCAAACAGGCAGCTGCAGAGAATCTTTTATCCTACTATACAAATTATATATATATTTTCCAGATCTGGCTGGTTGTCGTATGTCTGTGATGTATGCACTTGTCTCAATGGAAAGTCTGTTATGCAGAAGTTGAAAATGTAATTATGCTCATGTATATTGTCTTTACATGCCAAAGAATCAATCTACATGATCTGTACACAGGAACCTTTGTTTTATAAGGATATTCTTCCCGTGACACAATAGTTGCATTCCTATGCTGTGAATTGAAGAAAATGTTCTGTTCAAATACATTTCTATGCTTCTTTGTTTGACCAGCTGCTGCCTTAGGTTGGTTTCTGGACATTGCAAGTCATAGAATGGACGTGGGTTTTGAAAGTGCAGGATATTTTAAAGATCAGAGAATTCCTTTATTATATATTACATAAAAAAAAATTCTGTTCTTTCAAATCCCAAATATACATCTTTGTCAAGCATAGATTAATAATAGTGTTAAAAATTTGAAACATTGTGAAGTGTTGTCTATGTTTACCTTCACACTTTTCCACAGGATCTTTATGAAGGTGAATATTGAGCAATATTGTTGAAAGTCAACTACTTGATGGAAATGTTACCTTTCTACCCTGTCTCAGAAGTTAAGAAATATTCCTAAGTTATACTCCTGTGTGATCTGACACATTGACATTCTAGATAGCAATGTATATACGAGACTTTAATTAGATGCATAACATGACCTGTACTATGCAAATAAGTAGACCAATCCACTCCTCTCCCTTGCATCTAACAGGTCCATTATCCTTCCTCCAATTTGTGTTCAGTCATTATGGTAAGGAAATTTGGAAATTGCATATTTGTTATTGTCATTAAGGATGAATTCTTATAGGTTTTGGCAAAACTTATTCGCAGCATTATTATTAGATATTGCCTTTCATATATTCACAGTGGAGAAATTATGAATCAGTCTTAATGCTTAACCTTACTGCCATATTTTTGCCATTTACTGAATGTATTAACTTCCACTTTCAGGAAATTTAAAATTAGTTTAATTTATCGTTCACTTCAAAATTGACTAAACATGATTAGTGTAAGCCAAGCTTGGCTACAGACAGCTTGTTCATTGTTATATAGACCACAGTACCCAGTTTTGTAAGGATATCTTGTAAACCAGTTACTGAAATGAGACTGCAAATGTCCATTGCTACACCATTAAATATTATGATGTTATTTGATGTTTTATAATTTATAGTTTTGTTGAAAAGAATACTATGGATTCATTCCTATGAGAATACAAGAAAAGTCCAATAAATTGATAACACTGTACATAGTTTTCATACTAATAAGCATTATTATGTGGATGTGTGTATACATTGTGTATTTTCTGATGCTCATGTGAGAGATTATCTAGCAATACAATGCTGTGGTTGTGTTGGTCCACCTGGAGGAAATTTGGCCATCTTCAGGAAAATGGTAGAAATAACTGTGATGCAGAGCAGTCCTTTATTATAGGCAATCCTCTTCAAGAGGGGCTCCTTGGCGTGGTGAAGAGGCTCTTGGTCTGAGGAATTAGCCCTGTCGGTCTTCTTCCTCAGACTGAACCTAATTACCCCCCATTCTCCCCTCCCCTATCCCATCCTCCCCTTTTTCCATTCCTCCTCCTCCTCCTCCTCACTCCTCCCTTTTGCCCTTCCTCTTTTTGGCCTTTGGGATTTCTCCCACAGGCGCGCTAGTTCCTCGGTAGGGGAAAGGACACCGGGGTCCATCCCATTCCGTTGAGGTTCTTGGCGGTGGCGTAGTTTGCCGTGGAATCTGGATTGCCTGGGGATGTCCCGATCCCTCTCCCGGTACCCCGGGAGTAGCTTTGGGTGTCTTTTGGGCGACGGGTGTATCTCTGGAAGCCACCTTTTCGGTTTCCCGGGGGGTGGTGCCGAAGGAGGTATGCTTTGTGCGGATACCCCGGCCGCCCTCTCTTTTGTCCACCGAGGTAGCCTCGGCAGATTGAGGTTGCTATCCCGGATTGCTGTTTACTGGCATGAAAGGTAGGTATGGCACGGGTTCCATGCTGCATCTGCGCTATTTAGGGGTGTTGAGGTCCTCTTGGGCGCGGAGGGGGATTTCCGGCCCTTTCATTCCTCCTGGGAACTATTCCTCCCCCCGCTCCCCCCTTTTTTATTTTTTTTTTTTTTTTTTTTATTTTCTTTTTTCTTTTTTTTTTCTTAAAAACAAAAAAGCAAAGGAGTAACCTAACCTGGCAGCCCTAGTCCATGAAACCACTACCCCCGGCCCCTTCTTGATACCGCACCCCCCATTCTAAACCCTGCCTTGTATTTAGACCACTCTTCGGACACTCCTGATGCCCCTGTACCTCTTACTGGTGCTGTTTCCTCACCCCTTCAGGTACCGGGCTTCGAGTGACTCCTTCGATTTGTCTGAACTCCGCTCTCCTTTGACTATGCTCCGGCTTCTTCCCTCTACGGTAGGGCAATTTTCGAATCGCCCACCCATTTCACGCCGGACCAACTCCGGTCCTACTCCTAAACGCCAACGTCAATCTCCTGATGATGCTGCCTTCTTTACCTTCCCATTCTACTCGGAAAAACCGAAAACTCAAGCACCCCTCCCCAAACGCTCATTTTCGGACCACACAATGGACTAAATTCTTTACTTTAAGACCAACTTCTTCTGCCTCCCTTTTTCTGACCATAGTATTGGCAAAGCGCTCCTGCGTCATTTTGGCAGAAAATATTTCATTTCACCTCTCAAGACGGTACGCGCATCGTCACGTCCAGAATGCCCCCCAAACTCATGATCTTCCTCCCCTTTCGAATATCGATACTACTCCTATCACTATTGAAAAACATCTTTCTCTCAATTCTTGTAGTGGTACTGTCATTCAGCCCCATACCAAAAAGTCCAACAGAATTTCCAGTCATTGGCAATGACATTTTTGAACAGTTTGGGTACTCCAGGATCTCCCAATCCTCAAAGAGACACTTATGTCCTTCCTGCCCGGTGCGGAGACGTTACCCTTGCAATGTGGCTCTTTTTAACTTTTGACAGCCGAGAACCTCCCGTCCTCTGTAAATGTCGCGGACATGGGTTACAAGTTCGAAAGGGTGATACCTACACCGCAACAATGTAGAAATTGCTGGCGTTTTTTGGTCACCCCCCAGCAAAATATTGCAGATCAAATGGCCGAATCCCCCAGCTGTGGTGCCGACGACCATTCTAATACATCTTCAGTCAACCTCCATCTTCCCTTTAAAATTGTAATGAAGCTCACCCTTCGTATTTCCGCCCGTTGCCAGGTCTACTTAAATGAACGTGAAATCCTTTTGCCTTCAAAAGCAGAAGGGGTCTCCCTTATGCTATGGCAGTTACTCATCTCCCGCCCCCAAGGGAGACTACCCCGTTTTTTTTCTCGGTTTCCAAACATCCCCCCCACTTCTGGGGTCCCATCTTCTGCACCTCCTCTGTTGTTACCCCTCCCAATAGCCACACGGCATCTAATCCTTTGCTGTCCTTGGCTCTGACGTCCCGACTACAACTCGGTCTGTTCTCACATCTTCGCGTCCTTCCTCACAAGCCCCAGTATCAACAAGACCTTGTACGACACCTATACCAATCGCCCCTCTACTCAGAAGTCCAAAAAATCCACATTGCTCAAATCTTCTTTGCCCCCTCCTTCCCTTCTTCCACCTCCACAATTTTCCCTTTTCCCCAGTCTCTGTACCTAGTTCTTCCCCCCCCTTTTCTGGCTCTATTACAAGTGGGGAGATTCACCCCCTCCTCGTACTAAGCCTTCCACCCCCGTCCCCTCCCAAGTTTCTCCCTCTTCTGCCACCCCCAGTTTCTGCCTCTTCGTCCCCCCCCAAAACTTCATCTCCATCCCTTACACTCTTCCCTCCCCCTCTATTTTGGTACAGTCCATTACTGTCCCAACTTTACTCACCCTCCTCCTCCTATCTCCAATATGGTCTCCCCATACATCTTTGAATTCAGAAACACTGGAAGCCATTTCAGAATATATTGCAGAGACTAAACCTTCAAGGGACACTGATTCACTTCCTGTTCCTTCTCTTCCTCCCCTTTCCATCTTCACAACCCCATTCTTTGCAATGCTCCGTTCCTTCGCTAATTGATCATCTTCCAATGCCACCACACATTGATTTTTCTAACCCCTCTAGTCCGTAGGTGCCTTTACCTACAGATTCCTATATTTTCTTCATCGCCAATCAGGCCAATTTACAGGGAATATCCGCGGCCTCAGGGTAATCGGGGTAGCTTCAGATGTTGCTTTCTAGGTTTTCCCCTGTTGGTGTTTTGCTTACAAGAACCAAAAATTTACACTCGGCTGTTTTTCCAACCTATCTCAGGCTATAATTTATTGTATTTTTTTCGGATCCTTTCTCAGATGGGACCTTTAATGAAAGTGCCCTTCTTCTACGCAATAAATATTCCGTACTGTCAACTATTTGTCCCATACCTCGCTGCATATACACTGCAGCCCTATCCACTTGAATAAGTGGTTTACAATATGTTCTTTATATCTCTCTCCTTCTCGACATTTTCTATCCCAGACTTTGCCTTTCTTGTTTTCATCCTTAAACCACCACCACTTCTGTTACTTGGTGATTTTAATGCCCACCATTTCCTCTGGGGGGGTCTCATTGTGACTCACGGGCATTCAGGTTGGGGGCTTTTCTCGCCTCTCACCCCCTCCATGTTTAAAATACAGGTACTACCCACCCATTTTGATCCTTGTACTCATACTCTCTCTTGCATCAACCTATCAGTCTGCTCTTCCTCCCACTGCACTAGACTTCACCTGGTCTGTTTCTACCAGACTTTCAAAACAGCGGATCATTTTCCGATCATTCTTACTTCTCCTTCCTATTCACCCACCTTCCGTAGCCCTCGCTGGCAATTTGATCGGGCAAAATTGGGATCTTTTCATCACACCTCACTGCTTTTAGTGAGGTTCCTTCTTCATCCTACCATTGATGAGCTCCTACACATCTTCTCGACGTCAGTTTAAAACCGCAGCTTCTCATTCTATAACCCCAAACCTCAGGGAGGCATTCTCAGAATGCATGCCTTGGGGTCTTCCCGCTTGTGCTCGTGCAGTAAAGTTTGAAACGTTGCTGCATGGGCAGTACCGGTACAATAAACCGCTGAGAGACTTCTTGATTTTAAGCAAAGCGTGCGATCGCTCGCCGTGTCATCCGTTTAAAACAAACGCACTTGTTGGCGAGACTGTTTCCACCCTCACCTCTGCTTCTTCTATGAGTGCAGTCTGGAAAAAAGTGAGGAAATTGAGCGGTAAATACTCCCCCTGACCCACTCCTTTTCTACGGGTCGCTGGTGTTGATGTAGCAAATCCCTCTCGACATTGCCATTGAACTTTGGGACACATCTGGTCCGTATTCCCGAGGGCTCCATCTAAAGCCCCTCGTTTCTTTCCTAAAGTCTGCCAGAGAGTTATGCCCTTGGACTTTTCTTCTCTCAAGAAGAACAGTATAATGTGCCTTTTACACTTCAAGAACTGAAGGCAAAAGCTCTCAGCTTCCGATCATCGCACTGGGCCTGACGACATTCATATCGATATTAAAACATTTACATCGGTCAGGCCCTTGTAGTCCTCTTCACCTCTTCAATCTTATTTGGGGACAAGGAGTTCTTCCCCAGCTGTGGAAAATCTGCCATTGTTCTCCCTTTCCCGCAAACCGTACTACAGGACATATGCCTCCCACTATCCCGCCCCATCGCTCTTTCTATTTCAGTTTGCAAAGTGATGGAACATCTCGTAAATCGACGTTAATGTGGTATTTAGAGACGCAAAAACATCTCTCCGCTAGTCAATATGGCTTTTCGTAAGGGTCGTTCTACCCTAGACCCCTTTCTTTTGCTTGGGTACGTAAAAAAAAACCATACCCCCGCCGGGATTGAACCCGCGTCATAGAGTCTCAAAACTCCAGCCCGTCCGTTTGCCACTAGACCAGCTAGCCACAATAAGATTCATCCAACTAGGGATATTTCTACACCATAGGAAAGTTGCACAGGCAACCTCTGGACCACAAATGCAAGTTTTTACAGACGAATCTCCAGCTAGCGTGGCCGTGACGAACTCTAAACTCAAGTCCCCTTCACTGGCCGTCAACATGACTTTAAAAAATCGTAAATTGACACGATTTGGTTTATTATTTGCAATCGTGTCATTACGATTTCTTAAGTCTTGGATACGAAGTTCGTAAAGCCTTGCGAATAATCACTCAGTTATTGCCATATTTTTTGACCTTGAGAAGCATATGACACAACTGT